TGTCGCGGGAGACCCCCAGCTAACGCCACCTAGCAGCACAACTCGTAACTACAAAGCATGCGCGCGCAACAGGTCGTTTCCGGTTATTTTTGTGTCCCCCTTCGTATTATCATAATAAAATTTCTTACCTGAGAGTAATTAATATCCGTTCCTCAGCATCCACGCACTCCCTCATAATTGTGTTTTGTTTTTGTATGACAGGGGAAATTATTTGCACAAGTTCTAAATAACTTTCTTTAGACATTCGATGGAACGCTAAAAATTTGGCATCTGAAACTTCGAGCTCTTTAGCAGCAACAAATAATCGTCGGTGGAAATTTCTTTCAAGGTACGGATGAACCCAGAATCTTCTTCATATTCTTTCTCTTCTATAGCGATGAAAATATAATAATATGACAGCTTCATCGCTTGAACTGTCACTGGAATCATCACTAACCAACAAAGACCGAAATGATGGTCTTTCCATGATTTCACTGAACATACTACTGATTTTGATCTTTTTTGAGTAGCTTCGTGTGTGGATCCGCGTCCCTAATGAGTCAGTAACTGATTGCTGATTCCAGTCGCAAACCTGTTCCGTTTATTTTGAGTAGCTCCGTGTGTAGACGGCCTAATTTCTACTGTAGCCATATCCTACCGGTACTGGTGCGTGCTATCAGCCCCGTTCAGCCAACGAGGTCGGTCGTCGGTACCTGATATTTCCCCCATCTACCAGAGGCATTGGAAACTACTTGGGCGGGAAATTGTTGCCTAATTTGGCTCAGAGGTCTCCTAGAGACCTGAATTTTTTAGCCCTTAAAAATTCCATGACCTCCGCTGGCTTTGAACCTGCGTACCTTGAGTCATGAGGTGGGAACGTTACCCCTAGACTACAGTGGCCGCTGTCTACATAAAGGTTACTATGTAAGTACATGTCTGAGGCGTATGTAATTTCTCTTTAGTTTTCATAGAACTTCTGTAACCAACACAAAACATGTGTTATTTGAAACTCACTCTCAGCTTTAAAATTTATGAATGCAATGAAAATCATGGCCACAAATTTCACACATACCATCATACCATTATGAGTAGATGTATCCAGTAGTGGGCAATTATGAATAGCTGTAAGCTATTCATAATAGTAAGATTTGAGGCTTTCACGGCGGTGACTATGAAGAAAGCAATCTTCTGGGATTTGGCACCGTGTATTACCGGTTCTCACGGTCTCTTCGCTTGCAGATTTCTTATATTTTTTCTTCTATCCTGAAGATGGAGGCGATACGTTCCTCCGAAACGTCGGCTAACACCACATATACACGGTGCCAAATCCCAGAAGACTGCTTTCTTCATATTCATAATAGCTTTACCAAACAACGCTATAAAAAGTAAGAATGGATCAGTAGTGTAAAATGATGATAAACTTATTAAAATAGGATTATTTCTAAGCAATATAACAAGATTATTCATAATAAAATTAACGTAGCATATTAATATAACTTATAACTTCATAATACTATGCACAAAGCGTATTTTTTTCTATTTTGAAAAAATAAATGTATATACAAAAAGAGGCATACGCAATGCCCATCTGGCCCACTGTAGAGCAGTCTCTTACATCTTGTTCTGTCATAGCAGGCGACCCACGATTTTTTGAATATATCGCTTAGCTCTTAATATTTTGTACATTTACTTCTTTTTATTTTTTAACAAATTTAGGAATTTTGTTTAGGAAGTAACAGACACCTTGCACATTTTTTCTCTGGCCTTAAGTAACTGACTTCTTTTCTTACCCTTCTGAGACAAAATGTCCATTATCTTTGCCCCTTGGTCCTCCTACAGTTTACAATCCCAGAAATTATGTTTCTCCGTTTGCAGCCCGTCACTACATTCACTTCAACCGTGGACACAATGTTAAATCTACTTAAGCTTACTTTAAGTCTCGAGCGGCCTGTTCACGTAAGGTTTACTGACATGAAGGCACGACAGCTCGTTTTTATCTCGTGGAACCATGGCAACGAGCCATTCCTGTAGTACCTGTCAAAGTAGCTTTTCATCTGTCCCTATTGGTGTTTCAGCATAAACTGCAAAGCTCCTCTTTGCTTTACTTTTCCCTCAAGGCTTTAAAATCTGCCACTGGATAGTGTATTTATGTCAACCACACATGCCCACTGCCATCTGGTGAGAAAAATATCAACCCAATTCATTCATTCATTCATTCATTTATTGTATATTCCATAAATCCATATACATAGATATAGAACCAGTCACATAGTTAATATGGTACAATACAGTTATAAATATATATGTACAACTTATAATCATTATAATAGATAAAANTTTGTAGGAGGAGGATATCCAATTCTTGAAACAAACTACGACACGATGTTTTCTTTGTGGTATTTGTCATAATCCTAATTCTCCTTTTCTGCATCCTAAACACTTTTATACTATGCGGGGAGTTACCCCAGAATATTAATCCATACGTTATTACAGAATGTACACAGGAAAAATACATCATTTTTAATGTCTCCAGTGGTAAAAAGGATTTAACTGATCGGATTGCAAAACAGGATCTGTTTAACTTATCAATTACTGCATCAATATGACTTTCCCACGTTAAAAAAATTTCAATTTTTAATCCCATAAACGTTATATTAGAAATACTTGGAATTTGATTGTTTAAATAACTAACTTGAACATTTAAGTTTTTACTGTTTTTAGTTCTAAACTGTAGAAAATAAGTTTTTTTTCATAATTTATTACTAGCTTATTTTTCCTAAACCATTCATTTATCATCTCAAATAATTTATTTATTCTGATTTTAAATTTCGCAGGATTCTTATCAAAGATAAGGATACTTGTATCATCTGCAAATAATATTGGTTTGGATAGGTCAGATATAATTTCTGGTAAGTCATTTACATATAGTAAAAAGAGCACTGGGCCTAATACAGAGCCCTGAGGCACTCTGCACTGTATTTCTTTCGATTTAGAACAACAATATGTTTTAATTTCCCACCGGCAAATAAATGGACTCTCGTAAACTAAGTAATGATGATGTAATGGTATACGCACAAACTTGCGATGACGTAACCTTACTTGGCCATGCTGTGCAACCGTAACAGCAACGACAGCAACGTTAGTTTGCGAGACTCTGTTGTAGTTTATTTGTTACTGCAGTGAGTGAACGTATGTGAAGTTCGAGATTATATGTACCCCATTAGTCCAGAAGACTCCAAATTTTGACCATTTTACCTCGTGTGTAATTGCTTTTAAATGTCACAAACCTGCGAATTGATAATTGTGGTCAGTTTTATCGAACTTTGGATACATGGAATGGTATGTAAGTATAGAACATTTACTATTATTCTCTGGAATCTACCATGAGCGGTACACTACCTAGGAAGGTCTAGGTATACAACGTATGTTCATATGCAAAAACAGCAACCATTGGTGTAAGCATGACACTAATTTTCTCTGATTTCAGACATCAGTGAGAAGGGTTTGAATGAAATTGAATTTCAGTGGAGCAGTGTTCTCTTGATAAATTCTGAAGAATTGTGTATATCAGACAAAATTCAGTAACAGGATTAGTTCCTTATAACATTGCCAGTAAAGTGTAATTCACAATTAATAAATGGTCCTGGTTTATTTTAGATGATGGGCAGCTTTTGTGTAATTGTTTGCCAAATGGGTTTCAGGGTGTAACATTGCAGCCAAAGCACTCTGTCTTAACGGTAGGGTTGGATGTGGGTTGATATAATCATGATTCATTTGTTCCCTGTTAGGAATCCTGTTGTCAGAGCTTGCAAAGACGTGAAACATGATCTTTACATAAATAAAACTTGACATGCAGCAAAGATTTGCAGACATAAGAATTAGACACGGATTTGTTGTCGAAGAACACATAATTGATGATCATCAAATTATCTTTATTATCCTTGGAGAAAACCCATCACCTTACACCTGGAAAAAGTTAGATCAAGTGTTACAGTGTGTTAACTAACACTCTGGTGGAAAAACTTGAAGGTCCAACACTCCTGTTTGAAAGCTCACCAGTCAGCATAACTCAGAGTTAGCTCCATCGACTTCCTGTATTTACAGTCTAATTTCCTGTGGTCCATCTTATTGACGTTCCAAGTGGACATTTCTCAGTGGGAATTCCTACAAAAATACTGATAAGCTGATAACTGTTTCTGAGTCTAATAACGTGTAGAATTGATTTTTTCATAATTTCTTCAGGAACTTCAGGTGATAGCATTAAATGATGTTACACATTTTGTTTTTGTACTGAGTTAACCAGATTTTCCATTTATTAACATTGTAAATGTGCTTTTGTCTCTAGTTTTCTTAAAAAGATTCAAACAAGTTTTCTTCTTGTATCATTAGTGAGTTCCTCAGACATCCAGTTCTATAAAAAACTTATCTTGAATGTAGCAAAAGATGTGGGGTACTGCAATAAATTGGCATACTAATTGACAGTATTTCCACCGTTTCCTTTGTAGTTATGCTTCTCGGCCAATGATATTTTTGCTGTTTGATGAAGCCTCCAATTGACACATGGGGTAAATTGTACCTGACTGTTTTTCTGTTGATACTCATACTTCCAGCAGAGTGTAAGAAAGAGATTTTTGAAATACATGTTATTTAGCATTGTTTTTTTCTCATCTGTATGATATAAATATTGAAAAAAAAAATATAATTACTACCCAGTATAATTTTTTCAGTTCTCTGTAGAAATTTAAATTAGTGGTATGTATTTAAAACACCCAGTTATCTTTTTATGTTTTTCAGATTCCATATGCACTTACCTGAAAATGGATTCTGACATTCTGTCCCATTTTGTCCCCCCAAGGGAAGGAAACCATCCGTCCAGCCTGTAAGAAATTGAATTGAATTGAATTTATTTACATTCTATAAATCCTA